GCACTACATTGTTGTTCTCGCCATGCTGGCCAGACTCAGCATGAACGTTCAGATGAGCGGATTGAGAGTTTCACATTTTTAATTTGACCTGAAATTTAAATCTCAAAAAATAAGCGAAAAACATAGTGTGTTATGTAAACTAGTATCAAATTACCACTATTATCCTTAGCACCACTGTGGGCGACAATCTGTTTATCCTAAAAAATGGATAACAATTGAATTTATATGTGATTTTAAGGATATGTGGATTAATTCAATAAGAGTGATTAATGGTATTAGATTAAGCAAATGAAAGACGTAATTAATGACCAAATCAATAATAAGAGTAATTCCGAGCTCGGTTGATGACTCAATGAGGAACCTTCTCTCGATTCCAAGCTTGCACTTACGAAGAACTTAAGAACAAAAATAAAAATTTTGAACGACAAAGAAAATTGAAATAGATTGCCTTGGTATTTGTGTTACAATATATTTATTGAACAATAAGCTTCCCCCTTTATATAGTCGGGAGTTTTACCCTAAGTACAATTTTAAGAAAGGTAAAAATCTTTTATTTTGCTAATCACTGATTTTCTGCCGTTACGGGCCGAGATTCACGCCGTGATATCCGGATGGGCACGGAAATCGAGATCCTTTGTTAGTCGTGTGCAGTTGTTTGGTAATGCTCTTCGAAGTCTTGATCCCCGAACCAGACCCGGAGAACATGGCCCCGATACCCCCGAGGGCAGGTGTTTTGCCCGAGCCCCGATATTAGGGGCTCCTCGCTCTGACTCCGATTTATTACAGTCACGTTCCTGCTTCGTTTGCCTCACCGGGAAATCGGGGTATTTAGTGGGCTCGATTTTATCCGTATACAATAACATTAGATATTTTGTTGATAATTGGAATATATTTTATCTACAATGAGAAAATTTTGTTGCTAATTAATTGGTATAAGTTTATAATAGTGGATGGTCATTAAGGTTTAACTCAAAAGATAAAACTAATCTACTATGCATGACCAAGAAATCATCATCAAGTCTAACGTCTTTACACAAGTCATAATATTGGTCTTGTGTAAATACTTTAGCTTGTGTAATTTATTATTAGGTGGTGTTTATTTGTGCTCTTGTATTCTAAAAGTATTTTATGCGTAAATTTGAAATAATATAATTTTTAATGTCTCATAAACTCTAATATAATTTATACTCATAAGATATGAACTGCATGATTTTTTAAGGAAAATAATCGAACTATAAGACGGATTAAAAAAACACAAACTTGAGACACGAGAGATGACCATACGTACTTTTGAAGCTATTCAATCGCCACCTTTTGAAATTTCCAATTTTTCTGTTTTTAATATTTTTATTTGGGGGTGGGGGTGGGGGGACTTTTTCTATTTGGCCATGATTGTTAGGTAAGTATGCAAAGAGTTTTTCTCTAACATTCCAATGTTCCATTATGAGGGGCGTCCAACTACTTAAATCAAACCTTCTTTTTCCTTCTTCTCATAGTAATAAATATTCTGTTCAATCATCAACCACAATGAGATATTTATATAAAATTTCTTAAGACTAATTCTTCTCTAATTCTAAAAAACTTATTCCTTCAAATTTGAGAAATAACTCGGACTTTTCTTCTTTAATTATTAAGATTCTTGACCACAATGTCTTCTTTTTACCATAACTTCTTAGGATAACCTTGTCATTTTTTTCAAAAAAAATAAAATTAAACTAGAAAAGAAAACTGCTAAGTTCGTAAAATTTGAAGCCCGCTTAAATTCATATAGTAGCATAAAATAAATGAATCGAACTTATCTCAGTTTCTCTTATTTTCCATTCCCTATACATTTTAGGTAGATCATGCAATAATATTGGAGAGGGTAATTCGACTTCTAATGCTGGAATATTATTAGTAATCGCTTTACACTTCCAGTTCAAATATTCATTTGATAAACTTTTTCAAAAAGGCACGAGCTTTTCTGCCATAGCTTTACTAATAATAATAATTCGTGTAGGCTATTATTATAAGGGCAATTAAAAGGAAATAGAGCCTAGGTGCAGTCTAATTCCCCACCTAAACCTATAAAAATGTTATAAAATAGAGCTGCATTTTGGGGTCCCAAAAATCTTTCATGTAAGGTCCTCTCCCTACAACCCCACAAATTCTAAAGTCACATGAAATGAGGGCTTTCACGTGTTTTGTCAACCTGAGATTGCCGGTTGAAAAATGTTTTCAAACAAGTCAATGCAAAATAAAACAATGGCCCCATTTTAATATTGCATAATTAAAAATACTACACCAACTTCCAAGAAGTTAATTTTTCGTTTGACATATGTTTGGTTATAGATTGGTTACAACCAGAATAATTTATTTGTGGATTATGTCAATAACAAAGTGTTTATCCCGAAATAGGATAACAATTTAATTTGTACACGATTTTAATAATACGTAGTTTGATTCAACACGAATAGTAAAGAATATTTTGTTTACCCTGAACTTAGATTGAACGGTGACCTTGTCCTCGATCGGATCCTCGGTTCGAGCACAGTCGTGAATGAAGAACAAAATGAAAGAACAAGAACAATGGCTAAAAGGAAGAAAATAAACTTATATTGTTTTGATTTGCGTATTACAACGTGTCTTACAAAAGAAAAACTTCCCTTTTATATAGTAGACGAGTTACATCCCTAGTATAAGTCTAAAAAGGGTAAAAATCTTCTTTTTCCAGTAATTATTGGTCCATCATCGACCTTGAGCGAGATCCGCGCCATGATATCCGATTGAGTGCGAATATCACGGCCCTCTATCCGTCATGTGTAACCATTTACCATATTTCCCGAAGTCTTAGAACTCATTCTCGGTCCGGGGCGCGTCACTTTATTATACCCGATGACGAGCACATCGTTCACTCTTCCTGGATCTCGATACGAAGGGTCTTTAACCTCGATTATAATCTCGTATCCGTGCCCTTCCTTCGTTTTTTCACCGGAAAATCAGATAGACAGTACCCCGATTTTACCCGTACACACAAAGAATGACCATGGACGAACAATGTAGAAAGTTAAGCTTCGATAACAAGCATGACTAAGGTTTGCAGTAAGGAATCAACCCATCGAGAGCGAGAAATTAGAATAAAATCTTAGAATTTTCAGTAACAAAACCTATCCATGATCAAAAATAAGAAATCAACTGGGTAGAATATCAAAAATAAGTATACAAAGAGGTAAATTGCCTATTAATTTTGATATATTCTTATGGACGACTCAAGGATAAGGCCACTAAAACTTATGTTTTAGGCAGGGATGGAAATAAAATCCGAAAAATAGAAAAATTGGACCAGACCGAATTAATTCGGTATTTTCTGCGGTTATTCGATATTGATTCGGTACGAATTTTTCGATAGTTCGATATTTCTGTACGGTTCTCAATATAGAACTTTCAATACTTCGGTATACTGAAATATTTTAAGTAAGCCACCCACCACTTTCCAGCCCAAGTTTTTAATGTTCTTATTATATATATGGTAGCTTTTGGAGGATTCAAATGAGAAAAGAAAACGATATAATTTGCATCTGTTTAATACTTGTTGTGATAAACATTCTGTTGCTAATTGTGCACTTTGGCTTTTGTGCTGTTGGTGCTCTATTGCTCAAAGTAAAGACTGGAAATTTCTATGACATTTGTTTTATAGGCAAGATTATGAAAGTATACCTCCATTAGTCCATTTATGAGAACTTGAACCATAAACTGTAAGCTTCCTTGCGCAATTTTCGATTTATTTATAGGTATGTTGTATTTCTAAATTCTAAATATGTTGTATAAGTGCTGGTTGTGTTCTTCATGTTTCAGATATTTTATAAAAGCATGTTTTATTCAATATGTAGTATGTGCAAAACTTCATTAATATAATACGACATAACTCACCAATAAGGGTGATTATGCAGAAAAACTAGCAGTAACAATTATGGTGTTAGTCTAATAGAAACAGACGTCACACTAGAATGTGATCCTTTGATTGTTATTGAGATGTTGAGAAGGAATTCTAAAATTCAAACTGCAGGGAGACCGGCTTTAAAATTCCTCTCGGCTGCAATTAAAGAGATGCGCTAAAGGAGGCCACCTTTATATAAGTCCAAAGAAGGATCAAATTGAAGAACTAGGCGGTATCATATATTCTTATGTGAATTCTAATCCATTGCTCCGTTCGCAAAGACTTGGTACAATATCGAAATCGTATCGAAATCATATCGAACCAAACAAAGAAAATACTGAATTGTACTACGGAATAATTTTGGTACGATATTTGATATGTACAATTGATATATCGAATGTCGAAGTATCGAAACGCACACCTCTTAATTTTAGTCGTTCAAGATTCAAGGTTAGTATTTAGTATATCCAAATATATTATTGTTATATATTTCCTAGGTTAGTATTTTGTATATCCAAGTTAGTTATTTGTATCAATACACTATCTTTGTTCTTGTTGTCAAAAATCTTATTGACATACATGCAAATTCATTTGAATAATTTAATTCTAAATTCTAAAATATTAGACAGTTTAATACCGTTTAAAACTCTAAAATTTAAATAATAATTTTAAAACTCGAAAAGAAGATTTAATTATAGGAAAGTCCTACAAAAAATAGCTTGTATATAACACTTACAGTTCCTTAATTATTTCACCAGGAAAAAACAAAAATTAAGACTGAACACATGGCTAACAAGAATGAAGAAACGAAATAATTCTCGTTTAATTATTGGTACTTCTAGTAACTCTTTCTTTGACTAGACATGATTATATATTTTTGTACCTTAAGACAAAAGTTAAGAAAATAAAAAAGCGAAATAATAATAATACTAGTAATATATACTAGTACGCAAAATTAGTTTTAAAAAGAAAAAGAAGTGTCAAGAATGAGAAAAGGACTAATAGGGTCTATTACTCTTTCTTTCAAATAGGACCCCACCCAACAACTCCTTAAACTTCATCCCCATCTCTCTCTCTCTACAGCATTTAATTAACAATTCAACAAATTGGATAGAATCTCTATAAAGACTCTTTCTTGTGCTTTTAATCCAAAATCTTCTTTTTTCCTCTTTTTTGCCTATTTGTAATCCAAAATTTTTGCTTCCTTTTTCTCACATGAAAGAATGGAGCTTGGATTAAGCTTAGGAGATACTAATACTGCTGCAACTACTAGAACGACAGCAGCAGCTTCTTCAAAATCATTTTTCTTGTCAAAGAACAATATTACTTCTTCTTCTTCTGATCATCAGAACCATAGTAGTAAGAAGAAGAGAAAGGGTATAGGGTTTTGCATGGCTTTAGGAATTAACTCATCAAATGGAAAAGTTCAAGAACAACATGAGGATGATGAAGCAGAAAAATCCAATGGTGATGATGATGAAGATGATGAGCATACATCCGAAGAAGGGAATACACCAGTTCAGCTTGATCTTCTCCCTCTTGTTCCTGTTCCTCGCCGTAATCTTCCTCAATCCACCCATTGGTCTTCTGATAATGGTAAATATATACACATACCTATACACATAATCATGGGATTTTCATCTAATTCATATACACAAAACCATACATGCAACATAGAAATAAGTGTTTTTTCCGTTTTACTCCAAGATTGAACCATTTTCCAAGAATATTTCAAATATGATGAACATGGGTTTTTTCTCACCTAAGTATAATGTTATACACTTATATACTTGTTCTTACTATTGAACTTATTTTACATTTATTGGGTTCAGTTGAACTGAGAAGGCTCTATTTATCATTGAAATTTTAGTTTTTTTTAAACATATTAGTTCTATTACTATTCGTGTCAAAAATATTGAGTTTAGTTTTAACTGGTGAATAAAGGCTCCATCCACCAATGACTTCCATTTTCCAAGTGATTTTCGAAGTTTTTTATGAAATTGATGGTCTGTGGGTTTACGTCTTTATAGGGAGTTCTGAGAATGGTTCGTCCGGTAACGGGGGGCTGCCGGCGGCGAGGGGGTTCGACGTGAACAGGCTTCCGGCGGCAGGTACGGAAGAAGTTTCATCTCCAAATAGTATAGCGTCGTCGTTTCGGATGGATTTTGGCCTTTTTAGGTCTGCTAATATTATTGGGAATAAACGGAACTCGGACTCCGGCGGAGGAAACGACGGCGGTGAACCGGAAAGAGCATCGTCAAGAGCAAGTGATGAAGATGAAAATGGTGTTAATACTCGGAAAAAGCTTAGGTTGTCAAAAGAACAATCAGCTTATCTTGAAGAAAGTTTCAAAGAACACCACACTCTTAATCCTGTAAGTTATAAAAAGAAAAATAGTACTCCATACCTTTTATTGTTTTATGGTTATTAAAATAGATATTCTGATTTATTAGTTTTTTTTTTTTTGGTTTTATCGTTTGGTACAGAAGCAAAAGCTGGCACTTGCTAAACAGCTAAATCTAAGGCCAAGACAAGTTGAAGTCTGGTTTCAGAATAGAAGAGCAAGGTTGGTGTCCAATAAAAAAAATTATTTTTATTTGTTAAGACTATTTTGTACAAAATATTTTTGGTAGATTTGGTTATTAAATAATTGAAGGCAACAAAGAAAACATTTGTTTGTGACAGATGGGAATTTTATTAAATGGTCTGGTCTATTTCCCCACTTGGGTACAATTTTGCAGCAACTCCTTTTAATATTCTTGGATAATGTGAGCACTTGTCTTTATATGTATGCAACCACAATAATTAATGCAAATTGAATTCTAGTCATACCAGTTACTCAGCTAGCAGTATGTCATATCATTTTCTTGGATTTATGTTTAGATTGTTTTTTATTGAAATAATAGTAATAGTATTAATTATGGAAGAATTAAAATTTTCATTTGCAGGACTAAGTTGAAGCAAACTGAAGTGGATTGTGAGTATTTGAAGAGATGTTGTGAGACACTAACTGAAGAAAACAGAAGGCTACACAAAGAACTTCAAGAATTGAGAGCTTTAAAGAGTTCTAATCCATTTTACATGCAACTTCCGGCCACCACTTTAACTATGTGTCCATCTTGTGAAAGGGTGGCTACCACCACCTCTACCGCTCCTCCCACCACCACCGCCGGCACCACCACTTCCAAAGCTCCAACCCCTATCGCCACCGCCACCGCAACCGCCACTACTAGTGACTCTATTCCTAAAGCTATTCCATTTCTTAATTCTAGACCAAGATTTTTCCCATTTAATACCACCACTAATAATCCCAACCATCCCCATCAATCTGCAGCCTCGTAAAAAAATGTGAATTTTCTCTTGATGTAAATATACTAATCATTGGCTTGCTTTTTCTTCCTCAAAGATCTTGGTAGGATGAGATCATGAAGAGGGTTTTTCTGTGTCCTTTGGGATTCTTGATGGTTTTTTATCTCAACATATCGAAGACTATTTTTGGTTCATTTTATATGTGAAAAGAAAAAGAAAAGTAAAAGGAAATGGTATAAGAGAAAAAGGTTTGTAGTTGTACTAGGTTTAGGAGAAGGAATTCCCCTTGTTTTGATCATCTTAAAAAAAAAATAGAGCAGTTCTCTTTTTTTGTCTACATGATTTATATCTCTTATTCATCTCTAAAATGTTGAGGCCCCATGAGTCTCTTGTCCCGGTTTAATTTCCATATGTTATCTAAATTTTTCAATAAATGCATAGTTGTACTGTCTAAGGTTTATTAAAAGAGATAAAAACTGAAAAGGATCTATCTATTCAATGTTTTTCTATTATCATGTATGAATTCGAGACTTCTAATAAAAAATGTAAAAATCTAGTCTATCTCATAATATGATATTTCTTTTGTGGTTAGAGGCGGACCTATGTTTAGAACAGGAAGGTCACCGGATCTTTCTGTCAATTTCATCCAAAATTCTAAATATGTATATGTATTAAAAATAATTATATATTTTATTTGGAACTAAATGGAGTACCGATTAATTAATTTGCTCATGTGCTGGTGTCCTTCAAATTCTGGATTCATCTTTATTTGTGATTCAAAGTATATAAACTAAGCTAGCGTTTTGACATAAATTTGATTAAAGTTAATTATATTTATATTTGAACATACATTTATTTGGAAAAAAATTAAAGTTTTGTGTATGGAAGAAAATTTCTTACCCAAAAACTGTTCTAAACCAAATTTATTGATCTTTTTTTTAATATTAGTTACTTCACCCGTTTTAATTTATATGAACTTATTTCTTTTTTAGTCCGTGTCAAAAAAGAATGACTTCTTTCCCTATTTGAAAATAATTTACATTTATGTCATGATTTATAACCACACAAAATACATGTGACTCAATTTACATTACAAATTTAAAAAATTTATCTCTTTTTTTAAATTTCATACCCAGTCAATTGAGTTCACATAAATTATAATAATATTTTCACAAAAATAATTAAAACAAAATTTACCAAAATATATAGCCAAACCAAAGCAGAGTAAAAGTCCTTTGTCAAAGGGTTTGATGGATGAATGATGAAGGTCAAGTAAAATGTCCCGGGGTTCAAGGCATGTTTTCGTTGTTGGTTGCCTTTTTAATGATTTCAATTATGAGGCGTGGGGGGAGAGGAAAGGGAGGGGACAAAGATGGGATATTGATCAAAGTGTCTGGTAAAGTTAGGTACCCTTTTATTACGACCCAATTATGAGTCCACACGAGCCAAGTACATTCTCCCATTATTCTGCTTTTCTATTTTCTAATACTGTTTCTCGGCACGTGACCTCTTATCAATACATCATTGTTTTTCAAAACAATTGGTGGTCCTGCCCCTATTTACGGGGTAAATGAAATAGTACCAGTAATATGACTTTAAAAAAGGATTTATATATGTTTAGGTTTGACTTGGCACTCCATTGGTATATAGAGTCAAAGGTTATGATAGGATACAAGGATCTTATAGCTCTAGACCAGGAGGTTTCGATTTCAAATTATGAGTTTGAAATAAAAATATTTTTCTAAGAAACCCTACTAGTACAATTGCAGAGAATATCCACTAAAATATTCCCTTGTAATGTCCTATCCTGACAAGCTAGCCGTTACAGCTCATATCATCGAAGTTCAACCTCGACCTCGACCCTTGTTAACATCTCGACTACGGCTCTAATCGACATCTCGACTACGGCTTATGTCGACACTTCGACCAAAGATTTTGTTGCTTCTTAGGTCGCTTCGACTAACGTCGACTCGAGAATCCTTCCCATAATATTATCTTGGCTTGGGTACTCTAGAGACAGATTTTGCCTCAAATAGTTAGTCCCTCCGCTTATTAAGACCGACTTCAAGTGGGGTCGATGAGCAAATTTGCTTGTTATAGTAGAAACAATTGAGCGAGCAGTTCAGGTCGTGGTAGTCATGGTGAGTCGGCAACGTGGCCCTATGCGAACCACCTATTTCAAAACGTCTCGATTTTCCCAATTGGTTTGTTGGAGTTGGGTTGTCCACAAATGAAGATGACGTCATGGTGTCATGCGTTATTATGACGCGTTTTCCCGATGTGTTTACTTCGTTTCTCGTGCGCCCTTTGACTGAACCTGTCGCTTCGGTTTCGGCCCCAGTAAATTTAAACTATTATTTTTTTTGGTGTCACATTCTTATAAATAGATGTGCTAGGGTGTATTTTTGAAGTTTTAACCCTTCTACTCCGAAACTCCATAACTATTTCTTTCTTTTCTGTGACTTAACACTTTCTATTCTAAGGGTTTTCGTTGTTTTCGATCCTTTATTGATTGATACTTTTTTTCTTCCGGTAAAAACATGACTAACGTACCTTTCAATTCGAGTGAGGGAAGTGATTTGTCCCCTTTAGCAATGTTGCTCCCTCCTCGTGAGGAGAACGTTCCCGTTACCATCGAGGACGGAAGCTACCCCAAGGTGAAGGAGATAGTTTCTCGAAACCCCGATACCATGTCTGATTTCTAGAAATTACTTGAAGCGGAGATCGGAGCCAGAAAATCGGCGATGAAAGAGGCTGGTTTGTTGGAGATTATGGCTAAATATGGCCTCCCCAATCACGTCGAGTTGATCTCTGCCGGGTGGGATGCGTCGCAGGTCCATCCTCCAAGGTACTGCGCCTTCTACACCTACCCATTTAACGTCGGCTACACTCTTCCTCTTCTCTGCTGGTGGAGGAATTTTGTCACTACTACAGCGTTTGCCTTGCTCAGCTCGCGCCGTATGTCACAAACTTAAAATGATGCTCACCAAATTTGCGGAGTTGGCCGGGATCGAGCTAACACTTCGACACTTGACGCACCTATTCGCCCCCAGCTTTTATAGGGGGATAATGCTGAATCTCTTACGCCGGAGATAAATGTTTGTCAGTGAAGATGGATGACAAGGACAACCGCCAATTCTGGCTCAACGTTTTCTTTGTTAGAACTGAGGATGTGATGGCCAACACCGATGATTTCCATGAGGTTTGGAATTGTACTCGTAAGTACGCGCCTCTTTATTTGTAGGTATCCAATTTTTCTTTCGTGTTTGGTTGTGGATCTAAACTCCTGTCACTTCTAGTGCAGCTACGTATTTGCATCCACCTTTGATCGAGGATATTTTCGACTGTGTAGGTCGGCTCCTTCCTCACATCGTGGGGATACGTGAGTGGTCGGCCTTCTTCAAAAGGTTTGGGCTCCATCTCCCTTCGACTGGTAAGTTGTTCTCGTCTCCGGCCTCTTAATTATTTCTCTTTTGTGGTTTACTTTGGCTTACTTTCTTTTCCCTTTGTACTTCGCTTAATTACAGCTAGAGGACCCTATAGATGGTCGAGACCTCTCGCGCCTGCGTTACGAAAGAGGAAAAACATTGACTCCTCGGCTTCGGTTGCCTATGCTCCTCTCGGCTAGTGTCCCGATTTCTTCTTCGGCTACGGTTGCCTATGCTCGTTCCCCTGTTGGTGCGTCTTGTCCTGATCCTACTTCGGCCATGGGCACCACGACCTCTTTACCATACCGCCTTGTAGAAGAAGATTAGGAGGAGTGTGTACCTGGTGAGGAAGGTTTGATGTCTCATAAGAGGAGGTTTGTGGATACTGGTTGTGGGGCCGCCCGAGCCGTTGATTTAATGGATGGTGACTTTACGTGCGCGAGATGACAACAAAAATGTCGGGCTGATGTCTGCGATTCTAATGTCGGTGGAGGCCGAAGTGGGTACGTCTCTCCCTTCTATGCTAACGGAGTCCTAAGGGCCGACTACTAGAGTTTTAGACACTTCGCGGTAAGAGGAGTTGTCGACTTCGCATCCAGCTGATGATACTTCTTTGTCGGCTGATGGGAGAGGCAAAGGTGTTGACGCGTTCAGACGTTGATGCTGGTGACCTGAAGATGATGAAGGAAGGGTTTACCTAGCTTGAGATAAGGCTTGAGGGGTCTACGAGGACCATTGTGATCCCTATGGATCATGATTTGTTGAAGAATACGGATAATGTAATTCCTGTCCTCGAACCTCTTTCCTCCAAAATAGAGGGTGAGACCCTCAAAGAACTGGACGATGTCACCTTGCCGAGGAGCATAGCCGACGTTGCTCTAAGGTTGAGTATTCAGTGTTTTGTCCTTCTCTTTTCCGTACTTTGTTAGCAAGAGCATTTTTATTTTTGCCTTCCTTCTTTTTCGTTTTGTGATTTTAGACTGTGAATTTCGAGATTGAAAGTGCACGACGGGAGGAGAAGCGTAAGGAAATATTTGAGATGCTGAAAAACAAAAATTTCGAGTACCGCGGCAAGTACCGGGAGTTTCGTAAGAGGTTGGGTGAGGGCGGAAATTTGCAGTCCCTTCGTGATAAATTAAAGGAGGAGGATGACGAGCTGGTGAGAGTCATCGAGAAGTTTAGCGTCCTTGAGGGGACGTTGAGGAGTAGGGAAGAGGAGCTTGAGGCCAGCAGATTTGTAGAGGCCCAGTGCGGCGAACTGCAAGCACAAGTGGTCGAGCTGCGCAGACAATTGGAAGAAGGTCGGCTTCAGGTGGAGGTCCTTAATGGTAAAGTCGCCGAGAAAGTGGAAAAGTTGGAGAAGGCAGAGGCGGCGCGGTCGGAGGCTCTGAATAAGGCAGTGTCCCTTGAGGTGGTGATTCGAACTCTCCATTCTAAGTGAGAGAATGACTTAACGACGACCAGGCTCCAGGAAGAACGACTTGATGAAAGGATCGTGGAGTTGGAAAGAGAGGCCTCTATTCTCCATGATGGAGTGGTTGCCTTGGAGGCTGAGAAGGCCCAATTATTGGCACATCTATCCTCTTCATGTACTTCGGACTTTCCCAACATTCCTCGGGATTTATATGAGGAGTGGATTCATGCTGAGGCACATCTTAAGAGATTTGCATGCGGCGGGGTCCATTTCTGATGAAGCCCTTAAAGGTGTTCGTGTGAAGGACCGCGAAGCTCGACTTGTTGGTGGGTATGATCCTACTATGCTTGAGGCCGGTGAAGGTGACGGTGAAGGTGTAGATCAACTCGAGGAGGCTTTCTGGAATGATATCGCGTATTCGGATGGCGTAGGCGATGGTGGCGAGGGGGCCCAAGACGGCGAGGGATCAATAGTTTTTTCTTCTTTTTTTTTTTTGC